TCACTCAATATCTGAGGTGTCAGACACAGAAGCCACAGCAATGGCAACATCAATTGAAACTGGCACTGGTGTGACCTCAACCAAACATTCTGATATGACTACACCCTATCGCTCAATATCTGAAGTGTCAGACACAGAACCTACAACAATGACAGCATCAATTGAAACTAGCACTGGTGTGACCTCAACCAAACATACTGATATGACTACACCCCATATGTCAACATCGGAGGTTGCCTCTACTGAATTGGACTCTGAAGTTACCACTGTAGAAATTACCACAATGGCAGGATCAGTTGAAACTAGCACTGATGTAACCTCAACCGAACCAACTAATGTGACTGCACTTTATGAGTCAACATCGAAAGTTTCATCTTCTGAATCTATCTCAGACGTAACTACTGTTGAACCTACAGTGATACCATCATCATCATCATTATCTGAAACTAGCTTTGATATGACCTCAACCCCACATACTGATACTACTACAACCTATCGCTCAATAACTGAAGTTACCACTGTAGAAGCCACCACAATGACAGGGTCAGTTGAAACTAGCACTGGTGTGACCTTAACCGAACCAACTAATGTGACTGCACTTTATGAGTCAACATCAAAAGTAACATCTTCCGAATCTATCTCAGACGTAAGCACTATGGAACCTACAGTGATACCATCATCATCATATGAAACTAGCTCTGATGTGACCTCAACCCAATATGCTGATATGACAACACCCTATCACTCAATATCTGAGGTGTCAGACACAGAACCCACAGCAATGACAACATCAATTGAAACTGGCACTGGTGTGACCTCAACCAAACATACTGATATGACTACACCCTATCGCTCAATATCTGAAGTGTCAGACACGGAACCTACAACAATGACAGCATCAATTGAAACTAGCACTGGTGTGACCTCAACCAAACATACTGATATGACTACACCCTATATGTCAACATCGGAGGTTGCCTCTACGGAATTGGACTCTGAAGTTACCACTGTAGAAGTTACCACAATGGCAGGATCAGTTGAAACTAGCACTGATGTAACCTCAATCGAACCAACTAATGTGACTGCACTTTATGAGTCAACATCGAAAGTTTCATCTTCTGAATCTATCTCAGACGTAACTACTGTTGAACCTACAGTGATACCATCATCATCATCATTATCTGAAACTAGCTTTGATATGACCTCAACTCCACATACTGATACTACTACAACCTATCGCTCAATATCTGAAGTTACCACTGTAGAAGCCACCACAATGACAGGGTCAGTTGAAACTAGCACTGGTGTGACCTTAACCGAACCAACTAATGTGACTGCACTTTATGAGTCAACATCAAAAGTAACATCTTCCGAGTCTATCTCAGACGTAATCACTATGAAACCTACAGTGATACCATCATCATCATATGAAACTAGCTCTGATGTGACCTCAACCCAACATACTGATAAGACTACACCCTATCGCTCAATATCTGAATTGTCAGACACAGAACCCACAGCAATGACAGCATCAATTGAAACTAGCACTGGTGTGACCTCAACCAAACATACTGATATGACTACACCCTATATGTCAACATCGGAGGTTGCCTCTACGGAGTTGGCAGGATCAGTTGAAACTAGCACTGATGTAACCTCAACCGAACCAACTAATGTGACTGCACTTTATGAGTCAACATCGAAAGTTTCATCTTCTGAATCTATCTCAGACGTAACTACTGTTGAACCTACAGTGATACCATCATCATCATCATTATCTGAAACTAGCTTTGATATGACCTCAACCCCACATACTGATACTACTACAACCTATCGCTCAATATCTGAAGTTACCACTGTAGAAGCCACCACAATGACAGGGTCAGTTGAAACTAGCACTGGTGTGATCTTAACCGAACCAACTAATGTGACTGCACTTTATGAGTCAACATCAAAAGTAACATCTTCTGAATCTATCTCAGACGTAACCACTATGGAACCTACAGTGATACCATCATCATCATATGAAACTAGCTCTGATGTGACCTCAACCCAACATACTGATAAGACTACACCCTATCACTCAATATCTGAGGTGTCAGACACAGAAGCCACAGCAATGACAACATCAATTGAAACTGGCACTGGTGTGACCTCAACCAAACATACTGATATGACTACACCCTATCGCTCAATATCTGAAGTGTCAGACACAGAACCTACAACAATGACAGCATCAATTGAAACTAGCACTGGTGTGACCTCAACCAAACATACTGATATGACTACACCCCATATGTCAACATCGGAGGTTGCCTCTACTGAATTGGACTCTGAAGTTACCACTGTAGAAATTACCCCACATGGCAGGATCAGTTGAAACTAGCACAGATCTAACCTCA